CTAATTCCAATTGAAATCCCGGCAGCATACTTCACAGACCTGGAAAAAACAATCCAAAAATTCATTTGGAACAAGAAGAGACATAGAATAGCATAAGCAATTCTAGGCAATAGAGACATGGCAAGGGGTATCACAATCCCCAACTTGAAACTATACTACAAAGCTACTGTGAAAAAAGTGGAATGGTGCTGGCAAAGAAACAGACCTGAAGACCAGTGGAACAGATTAGAAGATGCAGAAACAACTCTAGACACACTCAGCCATCTCATCTTTGACCAAGGAGCCAAATACCCTCACTGGAAGAAAGATAGCCTCTTTAATAATTGATGCTGGAAAAATTGGGCTTCAACTTGCTAAACATTAAAACTAGACCTATATCTCTCACCATGCACTAAACTAAAATTGAAATTGATTACAGATCTAAATATTGAAACAGAAGTGCTGAACTGGCTGGAACATAAGTTAGGTAGGACATTTTTGTAGGAAAAGATTTTATGAAGAAAACCTCAGTTGCCCGTGAACTAGCACAATCAATCAACAAGTGGGATCTCTTCTTATTAGAAAGCATCTGCATGGCAAGAAAAACCACCAATAGTATGATGAGACAACCACAATGTGGGAAAAATGCTTCTCCTGCTTTTCCTCAGACAAAGGTATACTATCTAGAATCTATAGAAAACTTAAAAAAATCAGACCTCCCAAATTTAAAGACCCAATCCAAAATGCACATCTGAAATGAACACACATTTCCTAGCCAAAGAAGTAGAAATATCAAATAAAGATATGAAAAAGTGTTCAATATCAGCGGTCATTCATGAGATGCACATGAAAACAATGCTAAAATTCCACCTCACTCCAGAAAGAATGGCTGCTATCATGAAATCAATAACAAATACTGGTGGGGCTATGAGGAAAGAGGAGCCCTACTCCACTGCTGGTGAGAGGTTAGATTGGTGCAACCACTGTGGAATTCAATATGTAGGTACCTCAAAGAACCAGGACTGAATGTCCCATTTGACCTAGATATTCTGCTGCTGGATATCTTCCCCAAAGAATTAAATGAATCACACCACAGGGATATACATGCACCTATGTTCATAGAAGCACAGTTTGTAATAGCTAAAACATGGAAGCAGCCCAATTGGCCATCAACTGGAGAGTGGATAAAGAAAATGTGGGGGTTTTAATAAAATGGAGTACTACTCAGCCATTAAAAATGAGAGCTTAGAGATATTTATAGCTAAATGGATGAACATTGAGGTGATATTCTTAAGTGAAATAAATAGGACACACATATATAAATACTGAATAGTTTCTCTGGTGTGAGAAACTGAAAGTGTTAATAAGGACTAAAAGTTATAACAGATAATGTGAAATAAGAAGAAAAGCACTAAATGGGAAGGGGAAGTGGGATGGTAGGAGAAAAGAAAGAAGGGAATGGAATTAATATGAGAAAATGAAAAAATGGAAATAAAGTCTGTGTAAATAGGCAAGAATGGAGGGGTTAATGGGAGGGCAGGGGAATGGGGAAAAATAAGAACCAAGACAGATCATGTAAAGGTGCAAATTTCCAATGATGAATGTCATTATAATGTGTACCTAAAATGTACCAATAAAAGTAATTTAAAAAAGTATACTCGCAATAAACAATCTACAGTCATCAACCTCTGAATTAAACTAAAAACATCAACAACAACAAAAATAGAAATGAGAAGACACCTAAAAGATACAAAAACAAATTTCCAGCTCATCAAAGGCAAATCCAGAGGGCAATGAGGTGGAACAATTCAAAAGTCAACTACCTGGACTCCCTGAACTGGTAATATAGAAAATAACAAAACTGATGAAAGAGGCTCTGGAAAAAAATCAAGTCAGAAATAATTTCTCAGATAACAACAGAGATGGTCACCATAATGAAAGGCATGATTTTTTTTCTGCTGCTTATTTTATTTCAACAATCAACTGTCCGCCAGGAAGAAACTCCTGATGTCACAGCCCATTCACCTGCACCATTCTATTCTCAGAAAACTGCATCAGTGTCCCCAAATATAAAAATATCAAATAATGAAACTTGAACAGATTTTTAAACCAAAAAACGAGGCCTATCGTAGCTTGAATTTGGTGGAGGGGAGTGAAGTGACTTCAGTGGTCAGGTCGTCTTCCAGCAAAGGGGTGAGGGGCACAGCCAGGCAAAGGCAGGACACTGCAGGACCCACTGTCAACACCCCAGGGTGGGCTGCTGCACCTGATAGCTGTGGTACCTCAGAAGGCTAAAATAAATGGTACCTTCTGTCCTGAGTGGCAGCTGAGGAGGTCAAAGGCTGACCCTGAGTGACTCTGTTGAATGGCACTCAGGATGGTTAAATTCATTTCCAATGTGAGCTTCACCAGCCCCACTTCTCAGAGCCCTGGCCTCCTCTTGCCATGTCCTCCCCCACAGTCTCTACAGCCCTATGACCCAGGGTTGGAGACCTCAGAAACCACCCTTCTTCCCTTCAACTCCAAATGAGAGTTAGCTCCCACCTTCTACCTCTCAATATCCTTCCTCCTTGCACAACATGAAACACAGAAGAGAAAATCACTGCCGCCATCCCTGACACCCACCACCGGCCTGGAGGGCGGTCGGCTTAGTGAGACTGTTCCTGAGATGAGGATAGGCGGGCCTCGCCAGGCACCTCTGAATTCTGGCTGTCATTGCTCTCAGGCTTGATGTTCAGTGAGAAAGTTGGGGCCAGCGGGAGAAGGTGGAGCCGGAAGAGGAAGACTGGTGGGAGGGTCAAGGGCTGCTGCTGTGGCTGTGGCGGTGGCAGCGGTGGTGTGTAGTAGTTTGGGAGGAGGCCTCCCATGGGTTCAGGTCTCCCATGGGTTCCAGCGCCAAGACTCCTCCTTGGTAGCTGGTGCAGGGAGCATGCTGAAAGCCCTTATGCATGGCTGGGGATGCACCCTCGTAGCCCAGTGGGAACTGGTGAAAGGCATGATTATTAACACTAGAGAAGATACCGATTTTTTAAAAATATAGAGGTGCGGAAAGTAACAAAACCATGAATACTCAGCATAGGAAAGAAATGGAAAACATGAAACATCCAAGCAGATATCCAAGAGATTTGAAATTCCATTGAAAGTTTCCACAGCAGAATAAATGAATATGAGGACAGAATTTCAGATACAGAAAACAGGATTGTGGTTAGCAAACACAAAAGGACAGATTTCTCAAAAATAGCAAAGAGCCATGAGAAATCAATCCAAAAGCTACTAGATGATGCAAAAAAGAATAACTTAAGATGGATAGAAGTCAATGAAGGAGTAAGAAATAATGCAAAAGACATAAATAAACCATTCGCAGAAGTAAGCACAGAAAACTTCCCAAACAGGGAAAAAGAATTTGATATAAAGATAAGTGAGGCATATAGAACTCCAACCAGCCATGATCAAAAAAATCTACAAGTAGGCATATAATAGTCAAGATTCTAGAAATCCAACACAAGAACAAAATATTAAAGGCACTTAGAGAAAAGATACAAATCACATACAAAGAAAAATCCATCAGAATCACAGTAAACTTCTCAACACAAACCCTCAAGTCAAGGAGAACCTGGAGTGAAGTATTTCAAGCCGTTGGAGAAAACCTCCTCCAACCCAGATTGATGTATCCTGCAAAACTATCTTTAAAAATCAATGGAGAAATAAGATACTTTCATGACAAAGAACACCTGAGGAATTTCATGAATACAAAACCAGCACTCCCCAAAATTCTAAAAATATCCTAGAAAAAAGCAACGAGGGTCACAACTCCATGAAACCTAAGACAGTGAATTCATCAGGTAAGGAAAGAAATTAAATGAAAAGGAGACATGAAAAAAAAAAAAGAGCCAACAGCAGGAAAATATCATGACAAGGATAAGTCAATACACATAAGTTATAACCATCAATATCAATGGTCTCAATTCACCAATCAAAAGAAATAGACTGGCAGAGTGGATCAAGAAGCAAGATCCAACAATATGCTGTATACAAGAAACATACTTAATTCAAAAAGAAATCCATGGACTGAAAGTCAAAGGAGGGAAAACAATACCCCATGAAAAAGGAACCCGGAAAAAAAGCGGAAGTAGCCATGCTACTTGGAGACAAAGTGGATTTCAAACCAAGACTAATTAAGAGAGACAAAGAAGGTCAATACATCCTTGTAAAGGCAACAATCCAAGAGGAAGAGATGGTAATCATAAATATATATGCACCAAATACTAATGCATGCAATATATAAAACAAAAATTAACAGACATAAAATATCAAATACGTAGTAATACAATTGTAGTGGGAGAGCTCAATACCCCACTATCACAAACAGATCAACTACACAAAAAATCAAAAATGAAAAACTACAACTGAACCAAAATTTTGAACAAATGAACTTATTAGATGTCTACAGAGTGTTTCACCCCAGAATACATGTTATTCTCAGCTGCATGTGGTTTGTTCTCCAAAATATACCACATGCTACCTCATAGAACATGCTTAAGTAAATGCAAAGGAACTGAAGTTATCCACTATATATTGTCAGACCATGCAATGAAATTGGAGATCAATATCAAAGGAAATCACAAGAAATTCATAAACACATGGAAATTGAATAACAACCACCTGAACAACCAATAGGTCACAGAGGGAATTAAAGAAGAAATTAGACAGTTTCTACAATTAAATGATAATGTCAATACAACATACCAGAATGTATGGGACACAATGAAAACAGTCCTATGAAGGAAATTCATACCAGCGAAGGTCCATATTAGGAAAACAGAGTGAGCTGAAATGACCAACCTGATGCTGAACCTCAAGTTTCCAGAAAAAGAAGAGCAAGACAAACTTAAAACTCATACAAGGGAGGATATTATAAAGATCAAGAGCAGAAATTAATGCAATGGAGACTAAGAAATGATACCAAAAAATCAATGAAGCAAAACGTTTATTCTTTCAAAGAATAAATAAAATTGACAAACCTTTTAGCCAATCTTTGTCCCGGCCCGCGGGTAAGTCAACGGAGACCCTAGAGGGGGAGCGAGGATGAGAGGGGACAGGGGACACGAGAGATGGAGACAAGACAGGTTTCTGATCAAGTCTCGTTTATTGCGGAAGCTGCTACAACAT